AATAACATACATAGGGGTGTAAATGCGGAAGTAAATAAAGGGATGGAGGTCTAAAATTTACGTCGATATTACAAGATGTCATTGCCAATAAATCTCTGTGAATTGTTAGATATCTGCAATAATCGATCTCTCTGTCCAATATAAAACAATCAAACCGTCCTCTTATCACGCATCTTTATTGTTTCGATTATACACACACACTTCAATAATTTATGATAATTTTGATATAAAATTGTAATAAAGTAAAGTAAAGATTTCAGTTAACGTCTCCTTTTTTGCTGCCAGGGCTAATCTGGACGGAACCTACTTTGTTTTAATTTTTTCCATAGCAACTGTTAAAATTGTCTGATATCTATCAAAAATAGTAGATAAAAGAGTACTTTAACCGCAAGGGTAGGTTAAATGATACTTTAACAGCGAGGATAGGTTAAAAACTTTATTTTTTTTCTTCTCGTACGTTTTTTTATTGCTTCCGTTTTTAAAAATTTTCGTATTCCTTTTCTCATAAGTTATTCAGAATTTAAATGGAAGTGGTTTGGATATGGCGTTTGTCGCCTTAGCCTGAACATTTGTTAGTAATTTACTTATTTCGTTTTGAGCCATTTCTGACTCCAATTCAATCAGCAATCGACACGAAAGAGAATTAAAAGATATTGACTCAAAACTGACAACTAAAGAGAAAGCTTTATTTTTCAAATTACATAGAAACTAACGCCAACCCAGCACAATATTTTTTTCTACTCGTAATAAATTCCTTGAAATAATAATTTCTGAATATTTTTTTAACTCGCTATGGAAAAACATATTGTTTTATACGCGACGATAAAATTGCATTATCGTTTTCCGAAATTAATTCACTGGCGATTTCATCATTCGTAAATTAATCTTTTCGGTCGACGATAAAATACCATTTTATCGTCTTGTATAAAAAATAACTATCAACTAACTTACTGCTATTTTTAAAGAAAATCTAAAGTTAAATTGGATCACTAGAGATAAAAGAATGTATAGAAATGATGTCACCTCGATAAATGAATTAAATATAGTTTGCATCATACCAGCCAATATTTTTACAACAAAATTTTAATTTCGGTAATTAAATTAAACGGGTTCCTATCAATTATTTTTGCTTCTATCGGGAGAATCGGCTGCTATTGATTAAAAATGACGACTATTGGTTGAAAAAAATTGTGTTATTTATAAGGGCCTTATTGAGGGTATCAACATTTTTCGACCGTGACTGGATGAATATCTTAGCAAACAAGTGAGCAATCAGAATCAAAGAATAGAATAACTCATAGTTTAAAGATATTTGTACCAGACCTCTAACTTTAGCATACGAGACTCGCAACAAGAGACCTTAGTACCTGCGGGTGGGGATTTGTTAAACTAACAAAAACTCTTCAGTTTCGAATGAAATACATGTGGCATGTTTTGAGTGTATTAAACTTCAAACCTTGGTATGAGGACAGTTACTATATAATTATTATTTCTCTTTTAGTAAAGTTCAAAACAGCATATTTGGATTCTTTGGAATAATGATCAAGGTTTCCTCTACCATGCTCTTTTACTTGTGAATTCCAGGCAGAGTACGGCACTCCTTTCATTGCATTTAATAAATTAGGTGGGGCTATTTACAAATTTAGCGTTTGATTTACATAACATATTCTCCTCAAATTTCTCTAATATAGTTTATGTCAAGCGCATCCGAGGTAATCACAGTAAAAAATATATTTAACACATTTTTTAGGTTCCTTTATTTCATTTAAATAATTTGTTATAAAGTTGGCCAAAAATATTACTTCTTCAAGTTTGTTGAACGACCCTGTGTTGTTACTACAGTATGGATAATGTAAAAAAAACTTTGTATAAATATATTAAATTAGTAGGTCATAAACACCCTTATAGGACCCTGTATTGCCCTTCCTCTTAATACTTTGTTTCGCGGAAGCACCTCTCCAATACACACACCATTTTTGATATTTTCATAAAATCCTTTCAAATCTCCTTTTTGTCGGTCTTTTACTTTTAGGTTTCTCTCTGATCTCTTTTTTATATAGGCCCTTGTCTTAGATCCTTTGATCGTACCTCGCTGGCGTTTTTTCACCATGTTCTTTCAAAATTAAAGTCTAGAGGACAAAGCTCGAGATCTTTTCTGAATGCCGGCATTTTGATTCGTATGCGTACTGGAAATATAATTTTTTCAGATATAGTTTGAATAGAACTGTCAGATAAGTTTCAATAAAATGAAACATGTCTGACAAAAACACTATAGTCTGTCCCTTTGAATAAGAAGACTAAGGAAGGAGCATATCAAAAATCTTAGCTCCACCGCGATGGGCCTCAAATATGGCCGACTTAAATTCCGGTTTATCAGTGCCGTTCTAATTTTATTTAAAAAATGTAAAACTATGATGTAGGGTAGACGTAGGATAGACTCAATAATATGTTTTTTTGTTTGAAGTTGTGAATAAATGTTGGTAGTTATTAAAATTGTTACAAAAATATATAATTCTAATAAAAATAGATAAGTTATAATAATTATTTATTAACACAAACATCCGATACGCTACTGAAGCAGGTAAATCTGGTAAATCAAATGGACGTATCTAAATTCTTTGACATCTAATCTTTGACAAGTAGTGGGGTCAAAAGCAAAATGCAAGAAAAATATATAATTGGTTTACTACACGTATGTATATTATATAGTCACTTACTAGCGAAAAGTTGTTCCATTATTTCACTCGATTTTTTCCGAGATCTACCGCACGCTACACAACCAACTATTTTCGCTACACAACCGAGTCTTTTTCGATAAATCGCGATTGTTTCACTGTTAATTTAAGTTCTGCCACAATTTCCATCTAGATTCACTACCTTTATACAACTATTAGTAGTAGAATAAATAATAAATAACATAAAATAAGCTCCGTAAAGACTGACAAATCCATAAAATTTCAAATCAAATTCAAATTTGTCAAATGAATCGTCAAACAGAACTGTCAAGGATCCCCACCCTAGAGTGTCTTTTCCGCTTACCATGCATGAATACATGGATAGCATTATGCTCCTTCCTTAGTCTTCTTATTCAAAGGTCTGTCCAACGACAAAATCCTTGCAGTGATAGTCATTTTAACTTCAAAGTAGTTTTTATTTTATTTTACAAAGAAATAAGTTGGTACAATTGGAACGCATAGCAGAAAATTAATATATATAAAATTTGAGTGACAAGTAAAAATATAATCCAGTTATTTTATTTAATATTGTAAAGGAATAAATAAAACAAAATATTTTATTACTAATAACGAACACTTACTGAATTGTACGCCTTAAAAGTTAGTTGCTTAACTTTAATTTTAAAGCTTCATTCAGAACCTCGAAATCAGTGGAATAAATTAGTTAATAAGTTTCAATTAGTCGTAGAAGTTTGTTCACCTAATTTTAATGTAAGCATTCAGAACGTCTTAATTAGTGGTAGTAATTTACAATTAGTGGAAAAAGTTAACAAACTTTTGACTTTTCTACTAATTATACTTCAAAATGTCACTTTGGCCTTTGATTATCACCCATCAAGAAAAATTTTGGTTAGAAATCAAAAGTTTATTGTTTTATAAGCTAAATATTATGCTTTCTCTATGGATACAACAGACTACCGCAAGCTGTTGCTAGGATATTTTATTAATTTTAATTGTGTTTTTTTAGATATCGTGAATGATCGTAAACTAAAAAGTATAAAGTGTAATTGAAACCACTAATTGGGAGGTTCTGAATGAAGCTTAATTGTTTTAAACCAGTATCCTTTGACATTTTATCTCTCTGCAGTACTAAAATTTATTATTTACCTATCGTGTGATGTTATTTTACAGATACTCCAGTTTCTGGTACCATATACGAGATGGTACACAACACTTAAAATCGTATTTAAACTTTTAATACAAATTTCTTCAAATACATATTTAGAAAGCCATAATTTAATCAACTAAAATCGAATTTTATTGAAAAATTCACCCAAAGCTATATATTATGGTATACAAGATATGCGTTTCTTGTTAAAGATATTTAATATGTGGGAAATTTATAGAGCAAATTATGGATTAAATAAATGACTTAATTCATGTGCCCTATACAAAAGTTTTAGCCCATATTTTAACAAATAATTTAAAAGAAATTTTGAAACACTTGGGTGTTTATTTAACTCTATTCTCCGTGAAAATATACATTTTTCAACGAAATTTATTATAGTTTGCGTCTTTCTTTCGTAATTATCAAAAAGTCCCACCGAATACCGATTATTTGTTGGTGGTTATCTCTATTTTATGCTAAACTTATGAATACAAAGTTTTATTGCAGCCGCTTGCAACAAAGATGGCCATGGAAAATTTTGTTTAAAATTTAATTTTTTGTGATACACTATACAATAATTTGAAAGTTATTGTTATTGAATACATGTTGGTATTAAAGAACTGGACAAATCACAAGGTCATAATTCATATAGAATAAAAATATGATAAAAAGTTCATTAAGTTTTTGGAATAAGTATGAAATTATGCAAATTAATTTGTAATAGTCAATTTAATACGGAAATTCAAATAAAATATATATTCTGGAAAAACACCCCTGCACTATTCAGTAAGTAAGTAGATATATAATAAAGTTATGACTATTTTTAACAAATTTGAAGATTTTAGAACACATTTATTCAAAAAAATGTCTTAAGTTAGAAATTTTGCATAATTGCTGAATGTCCAGCAAATTGCATTGGGTCGATCTGTGTGATGTTCTCTATGGGTATCTCGGAAACTACTGGAGCTAAAGAGTCGGCTAACCCTTAATTGGCAAAGAAGTCCAGTTTTGTGACGTCAAAAATAATGCGTTTTTCAGATTTTTGAAAAAGTTTATATCTTAATTAATACATAATTATATTATTTGGAAGGATGATATTAGTATTTTGTGTTATACAACTAGCATTTTTATTAACACATTATATCATTTTTTTACAGAATCTTCTACAGAGCGATCAACTTTACTTTAATAACGAAGCTATACAAAAAGGTAAGACAATTTAATTCTTCTTGATGGTGTTTATTTTAGTCATAATATATGCTGGGTAGAAAATACTGCGGATAAAAGTAAGTAAAAAAGTTTGTATAGATTTATGTCCTAAAATGCTAAGATTCGGAGATACAGGGTGTAGAAGTTTCATCTTTATGTTCTATTTTTTGCAAATAATTTTTGAACTATGGTCGATATTTGCATGAAAATTGATGTTTGGAAGTTTTTTGACATGAGAAGTTTGATTTTGATGTCAATATGACTCCTTCTTGTAGAGGACGCCACATACATATTTCGTAACTGGTTTGAAGGGTAATAACTTTTTGCACCTGTATAAAACTACTCAGTAAAAATATTCAGTTGCGCCGTTTTTTGCATAAAAAACTATCTTAGTAAAAAACACTGCAGTCAAAATTTCCCAAATTTATCATTTCAGTCAAATAGACAACTCTCTACTCAACATATTTATTCTTAGTCAATTTTTGCTAGTAGCAATTTTTATCATACGTTGCTTGTAGCGATTTTTCTTAAGTGACGTTTATTACGTAGAAAATAATAGAAATCTATATTATTGACTTAGTAGTTTTATATTGGTACCGACAAAAAGTCATTATTCTTCAAAATAGCTAAAAATCAAATTTCTCATGTCAAAAAACACCCAGACACATTATTTGGAAAAAACCGAAATAAAAATGAAACTTCTACACCCTGTCTTTCCGAAACGAACTATTTTAGGATATAAATTTATACAAACTGTTTTACATATTTTTATCTGCAAAATATGCTGCCGAAGTTTCCCGAATTAAATTCGGGCCACCCTGTATACAGCGTGAGTCTTAAATAAGTGCAAATAATTTTAGCGGTAGTATATTTCGACCCCAGAATCATAACTAAGATTTTTTTCGCGAAAAAAAGTAACTTTTGATTTTTGTTTTTATTTAAAAAAAATATAATTTGTTCCTTTTATCGAGATTTACCAGCCCTGAAAATATTTGCACTTATTTAGGACTCACCCTGTACTATAAAATTATATTTTGTATTCTCTGGAATAAGTACTGATATTGAATTTAATATACCTTTAATAAACAAATAGTACGCGAGGTGGCGACACTTTTCATTGTCCCATTTTATAAAACTCGATTTATCTTTTACTTTCTAATATTAATACCGCTGATCAAGAAAATAAACTCCTGCCACCTCTTTAGGGGGACAACGATTGACGGCGGTATGCAAAACATGTTGAAAAAATGTCTAAATGTTTAAAATAATAAAAGATGAAACTTTCTCAATGTTTTAATAACATTTAAATAAGTCATGAAATACCTTCCTGCCACTTTTTCGGTTGTTATGTTTTATGTAGTAAAAAATTTCAACTTTTATAATTTATATCAATGGATAAATTTTTTTCACATAAATAAAATCATGACAGCAGTGTATAGGTCTACCGAAAAAGTGGCAGGATGTCGTTTTATGCCGTATTTAAATGTTATTAAAAAATTGATAAAGTTTCTACTTTTATTATTTTTAACAATGAAACTTGTTTTTAACATAATTAATATATCGCGGTCAATCAGTGTCCCGCTGGTACCCCTGCAGGAATCGATTTTAGGTTTCGATAGCTTTGAAATGATACAAAAAAATCTTACATAATTAGTGTCGCCACCTCCCGTACTAAAAGTCGCAAATACATACTTTCTAAAACTATTTTATAGAAAATTTAGAAATATTGGTCAATATTATTTAAATATTGGTCAGTATTATAAAATTTCCAACTCATCAAATATACATTTAAATTATAAAACAAATATAGCTTCAAATAATTAATTTAATTATTTTAACTTATGTAAATATTTAAAGTTTATTAGCGACATGAATAGATACATTTATTTTAATTAAACAAATTAAACATAATTATCTAATATATAATTCTTCAACATATGAACTACATTTTATTAATATAAATTACGTAAGCATATATTTTTCTGATAATATGACTACGAGAATGCATATTTGAAATGAATCATCACTTACATATGTTATTGTAAATGTCCGAAATGCGGTAAAACCTAGGATAAGCGCGCTAAACCTAGGATTTACCAAAGACATGTGTGTCCCAAACCCGAAAAACCAACTAATCAATGAATTAACACCCTCTAAATAACCACGCTAACCAACTCGCCAAATAACTAAACCAATCCAATCAAAAAGAGTGAAACCAGTGCAATCAAATCACACTATAAACAAAAAAATAATCGAATAAAATGAATTTTTCGGGTTTGGGAAATATTCCTTGGGTTAGCGCGCTTATCCTTGGTTTTACCGCATTTCAGACATTTACTGTGACATATATACCGGGTGCGTCTCAAAAGTGGTTCACCCCTATAACTTTTTTATTTTTTTAGATAAAAAAATAAATTTGGTACGTTTGATTAAAAATAAATTTGGATTGATTTGACATATTCAATTGTTTTTGGGTCACTTCCTGTTTCACCAGAAATGACTACAACTTTTGATTTTTAAATGACACCCTCAGTATTTTTTTACTTTATTCGATAGAAAATACCACTCTCAATAGAATGACGTATCATATCAACTTGTGGCATTTTTGCTTTTAAAAAAATCGTATTTTAAATTACAATCTAGAGTGTTATGCCTGTGTTAAAAACACTATTTTTTAATCTAGGAGTCTTGGAAAATAAATTTGATTGTCTAATATTTTTTGTGTTGCCCCGAGAAGTTAAAATATGCCCAAATCGTATTTTTAATCATATCTCAATTTTTTCAAATGGAACGAGGGTGGCTCATTAGTATTTGGAAATAGCATTTTTTTACCAACAATTTGGTGTCACACACTTGGTATTTCGAGTCAAATTTTCATTATTGAACCGCATGTATAATTTCAAATAAACCATATGAGAAATTGTCAAAAGTTGACATATGATATGTCATTCTATTGAAAGTGTCATTCACTATCAAATAAAGTAAAAAAAATCGGTGGTGCCATTTAAAAATCAAAGTTGTAGTCATTTCCGGTCAAACAGGAAGAAAACCAAAAACAATTGAATACGTCAATCAATTCTAATTTATGTCATATAATATCATAGCAAATGTGGTTTTTTATCTGAAAAAAATAAAAAAGTTATAGGGATGAGCCACTTTTTACCTGAATTTCTGCTTGGTTTTATACTTTTGTACTTATAAATATTTTTTGGGAAATTTTCAAAGTAAAATAACTCGCTTATTTTTAGACTTGTTTGAAAGACAGTAAAAAAAATATATGTTTCTTTTATCGAGATCTACCAGCCCTGAAAATATTTGCACTTATTTAGGACTCTCCCTATACTATAAAATTATATTTTATATTCTCTGTAATAAGCAAAACTTTAATTAAACGGTTTTTAAACAAAAAAATATGATTTCTGAAATAATCCCAAAAGTTTAATATTCAGAATAATATTTAAAGAGACAGTGACGCATTACTAACTTTAAATTGTATCGGGCTTAACCAAATTATACGCTTATTAAGTGAATTTAAAAGTTAGAAAAGTTTTGGCGAAACGAGAAGGGCTTTACCTTTTGCTCTGCCAAGTTGTAATTAATAATTATGACGTCGAAATTGGCAGTGTGGTGCTCTTTGAATGAAATGTTTTTACTATAACAACCCTTACAGTAAAGGGTTTACGAAAATATTTTCATATGTTTTAGTTTATTGCATTTTATGTTAGAGTGTATGTATGTATATTGCATTTAGAAGTATGTATATTGCATTTAGAATGTATGTATATTGCATTTTATGTTATTTTGCTAATCTGTAAAAAGACTTGCCTAATTAAAAATCAAAAATTAGAAGAAAGATGTGTTTTAACATAAATTATCTAAATATACAGGGACATTATTTCAGGTCTTCTTCTACTTATTTGAGATCTACACTCAGATTCAAAAAAACGCAACGGAGAAATTTTTGGTCAAATTTAAAGTGTTAAATTTTTGTTATTTTTAGCCCAATTTTCATGAATTTTTTAGCAAACTGTATCTAATTATATCAACTTTAATTCGTAAACTCAGCTTTTTATTAATCGAAATTAATGGGGGGTTAATCGAGGGGTTGTTTTATACCCTAACTTTAAAACACCCTGTGCAATAATTTCGTCTGTAAATTTTCATAAAATATAATTTTACGATCAGAACCATGAATTTTGAGCATTTTGTTTTTTGATTCATGTCAATACATGCCTTGGTTAATTTTTATGAGCGAAATGAACTGATAACGATCAATTTGCAATTTTTTTAATTATCATTACACTGATGTAATTCTTTAATATGAAGAGATGGTTTTGGTGACTATTGTCGTAACGTCATATTACACTGCATTAGATACTCTGTACTAAATTAAAAAAAAACGTAAAAAGACTAACGTGCTACGTGCCGTTTGGGAGGTGGGTTCAAAATTGTACCTATATAAAACACAACATTTTAGTTCAATGTAATCACACAATAAAACACAGATTAACAAGACAGACGTTTATTCAGAGTAGGGTAGCTCATCATTTGAAACAATACAATTTAAAATGGTTTAAATAATTATTACAATAATATAGGGAAATTAAAATGACTATATTATAAATTAAATATTTGCAACAATTGGTAATACTGGTTACCAGTTAGTGTAACCTAGACAAAAAAAATTACCTACTCTACTAAAATTTAATATAAATGAAAAACGGGGTACCCACGATATAAATGATACTTATAATTACTAAATAAATGGTCTTTAACTAAAACTAATCAGAAGCAACAAAAAAAAATAGGTACAATATTTATTAAGTACGCAGGAACGAGAGGGAGCTAATAAAGAGTTTGGTACTTAGCTTTTATTCGTAAGGGTCCCAAAAAAATCCCCTACGCCAGGATTTGCCGCACAACCAGAAAGCCCAACCACGTGGCTTCCCCTTAGCTGATCAATTGGTTTGAACAGGAACCTCGCTAGCCAGTCGTGAAAA